GCTACTGATACTCCACATTTAGCCATATTGTCTTTGTTTACACCATAATAAATATGGATACATTTGCTGTAGTCTTTAATTCCTCTTCCTTTCTTCTGAGTTTCTGTTAGCAAACAAATGTCTATATATAATTTTTTCATCTGACTGAATACTTCTTCATATTTTTTGCACTGTACATTCCATTTTGCTATTTGCAGTGATCAGTTTTGTGGCTTAAGTAGTATTGAATGGGGACCATTTAAAGGCTGCTTAGAGTTTTTAACTTGTTTGTGATTTTTGTGAAGAAGTCTGTAATAAATTAAGTAGGCCTACCAACAAATTCATTTTGAGGAATCTTAAGAGATAATGTCAAAGAATATTCTTATATCAATATATTATGGAATCTTTCATTGACATATACAATATGAGAGAAATGTGGTAGGCAACATGTAATAGGAATATTGACAGAGTTATAGTAGTTTTGAAAAGAACAATCAGGTGCATTTTTAATCTAAAAATAAAACACGTGCAAAAAAAGTATATTAAGAATATGAAATAATGACTGCAGTAGCTCTATGTACATAGAGTAATTGGTACTACTACTGAACAAAAACATTAACACGTATGCCATACAAAACAGTAGAGTACATAATCACTATTCTTGGGGACAGTTAAACTATCACAAGATGTATGTGCAGATAAAATGTCAACAAACAAAATTCCCCACAGAATGGCAATTATACTATATAGTAAATTACTTAATAATATTAAAACAAGTAAAGACAGTTTCAAAAGATTATTAGAGACATACCAAATTGAATTGATGATTATTATTTCTAGCTGGTAACCAGCGTGTTGCTGCTGCAGAAGAAATAATTGTGAAAATATTCCATTCCCCCTCTCTCCTTCTTTCTCCATTCTCTCTATTCCGCTTTCTCTCTTTCACTTTCTCTTAACCCCCCTCTTTCCCCGTTTTTTTCTGTCTTTTATTTTCCGCGCTCCCTCTTTTCACTCTACTCCTTCTCTCTCTCTTTTCCCCCACTATATATGTCTCATTTCCCCCCTCTCTGTCTCTCTTTTAACTTTCCCGTTTACGTACGTATATACGGAGTAGTATATGTAGTGTAGGAAAAGCTATGTAATGCTGCGGAAAATCGATTTCGCGGTTTCAACGGATCTACACGTTCTCGACTTCCTTGATACAGAAAAAGTGTTTTTTTCAAAACGTCCGTCTGTCTCCCCGTGTGCCAGTCTGTCTGTCCGTTCGTCTGTGAACGCCAAAACCCTACGTATTATTTTTTCCTAATTGAAGAAACCACTATCCATCTAGCTCGAGTCGAAGCTTTGAGATTTTGAAAAAAAAATCTTCAAAATTTGGGCATAATTTAAATGAAGCCCCCGAACATTTTCAAAATTTTCTCAAAGCAGCTCAAATTGTTTCTTTAAATTTCTTGTAAGAATAGAGTCAAATATTCTTATAAAGGTGGAATATGTCCGATTTTCAGGTTTAACAGGTTAGAAAATTTCAAATTTTTTCAGCCGTTTTCCTACAACTACAAAATTGAAGATAAAGATTTTTCCTTCCCATAAAATTTGTTCTTCATAATAAGTTCTTTCGTTAAGGTTATGTACATTTTGTTGAAAATTTTAGTTTTCGCGCAAAATGGCGAGGAATATGCACATTTTTTTAAAAATACAAAAACTAGATTTTCGCAAAAAGGCTTCAATTTTTTTCTTTAATAATTTTGTAGGAATAGCGCTAAATGTACTCTATGAGATGACATAAGTGCCATGTTACTTTATTCTTTTGCTTTTTGAAAATTTACAAAATTTTATTTTTTGTCTTGTCTCACGTCGTTATATTTATATTAGCGGCAATTTGTTCACATTGATATATTTATGAGTAAATGCGCTTTAATAATGTTAGATAAAGTTTCTCAAAATATAACAGTTTTCTGTAAAAAAAAAAGCTCAAAATTCCGCGTTTTCATTACGTTACATTAGTACATACATACGTTACATTACAAGGTCATATTAATCCTTCGTTGCTCATGGGTGAATAGATGTAATATATGTTTAATCTATAGTTAGGTTCTTTTCACGTGAATACCAAAGTTTCCATAAGTTGGTTGCAAGATGTAGAACGGCATGACTTGTTTGCAGGTATCAAGACAAAATACTGGTATATCGCGCTGCGTTCCTCAACATGTAAAAAATATCCCGGCTGTCTACTGGAAGAATTATAACAGCCACCTTTTCGTTGCATTCAGTCTTGTACCACCAACAACTGTTGAAAATTTGTTTGGTTGTATTGGGATCATTAAAAAGGATTATGGCCTGACAATATGAAACTACCTCAAAAGTGACTGCAAAACCCAACACTCGTTTGAGTACTAATACTGTTTCCACATAAACAGTAAGGAGGAAGCTTTACAATGCTAACATTATGGAAGGGCTAAACCCCTTCAAAACGGAAGCCAACGCAAAGTTGCGAAAGAAGTGGTGTCACTGTCACACAACCTGGACACTTGATGACTGGAATAATGTATGGTCCGATGAGTCGTCATTTACGTTGTTTCCTACAAATGGCCGGGTTTGTACATATATTGGGGAACCCCCAACCGAGCCTATGATCCGTCCTGCCTGCTTCCTACAGTCAACCATGAGGGAGATTCTGTTACGATGTGGGCGGCTATGTGTGGTATGCAGCTGGTCATATCATTACCCTTTCTGGCCGGATTTCTGTGAATGAATATCTTGACACAATGAAATGGCTTACAATGGCCAGCATATTATTGCCAAAACAGCAGTCTTCAAAGATGATAATGCGCCCATACGGCAAAAAAATGTTAAGCGTAATTTGCAGAGGATCAGAATAATCATCAAACATCTTCCCTGGCCACAATAGCCAAACCTCAACATAATTGTACCGTATTGGTGCGTTTTAGAGCTGAGGCGAGAAGCGAATTTCCATCTCCAACATCGTTGTAGCAATTGGGGAATATTTTTGTAAAAGAATGGGAGGATTTCTTGGAAATTATTCAGACCCTAAAAATCTATTCCGCGCGAATTGCAGTTCTTCTAAAAACAAATGGCCACAACACCTTATTAATAAATAAATATTTTTTATATGTCGTTGTTCATATTATTGTTACCAACCCCTCTAGCTACATACCTCTACAGCTGCTCTTTGCTCCTTAACATCCATAGATCCAATGATGCATTGTTGGATTATTTGATATTTTGAAGTTTTTCTAGTCTCTGACCAGAACAACAATTCAAGTTTCATCCTCTCGTTTCATCAATTCTCTTACCTTTTGACCTATCTTCTATTTATTTAATTTTATATAAGTTAAAAATTACTTATATCGAAATCACGTAGATAACCCAGAGGCGAACTTATCGAGTTTGAGAGCACAGAGTTCATCTACTGTTGCATTCTATATAAGTGCTTCCCATTCATCATTCCCAGCAAGACCCAATTCTCTCGCTAGGAATCGACACATTGCAAGTGGCTGATGTGTTGATATGTTTTTGGTATCCAACTCAGGGAGACGAGCCAATTCCATTTCTGAAAATGCATTTTTGATCAATATTTTTTGCGTCGAAAAAAAAATTGTAATTGGTTGCAATACAGCATGGCATTTCATTTCAGTAGTCCTTGGAGTGAAATAATACAGGAAAGTTTGTAACCAAATAATGAACTTTGATGGATTGAATGAGAAACTGTACCCGCGCATATTTGGAAATAAGCAATTAGTCATGAGTCTGACTAACATTTATCAGCAATTATTGTTTTTAAATTTTAATATTTTTTAAAATATATATTAAGAGATTTTCATTTTCCTATGTTGAAGTATTTTTTATTTAACTTCCGCATTTTCACAAATGCCTCAATCGTAATTTTCTCAAAAACATCTTCAAATTTTTTTCTTCAAAATACGGATAGTGCTAAATGCACTGTTTAAGATGGCAAGAAACCATTTTAGTGTACCCTTTTTTTTCAAAAATTACACAAATGTATTTTTTTTTAAATATTTTCACGGGTTTGGATGCAAATTACCAACAACAATTTGAATATATTAGTGCATTTTGGGTGGAAGTGATTCAAATGACGTCGAAGAAGTATTTCTAAAACTCAAAAGTTTTCTGTGAAAAAGAGCTTCAAATCTCTCACTTACGCTTAAAAGTATTTTCGTCTAAAAACATGA